TCCGACGTGCAGAAGCATTCCAGCAACAAACATCACTGACATGGGATACCCACTCGGGCAGTCTTGGTATTCTAGGTATGTCCACTGCATACCAGTTCAATCTCCAAAGCACTGAATGTGCTTAACGTAATTTTGCCGACAGGTATAACTTAGAGACATAAACTCATTGCAAAAAAGTCTAAGTTCCCCCTCCTCCTCCTCTACCCTGGACTTTCCCTCCTGAAAAGTCATCCAAACAAACCAAAAATTAAAACCATCACAATCACTGCCTCTAGATACAAACCTATACCTGTCGGCAAAATTACGTCAAGCACATTCAGTGCTTTGGAGATTGAACGTCCAATTTAAGAAAATTTCACAAAACTGTGTGGTAATCGTGAACTTGGAACAGTTGGATCAACTGCAAAAAAAAAAAACAGTCTGCCAGCGATCCTGATGTTCGCTTTTCTTCACAATTTTGAGCTACTAAAATACTATTTTAAAATTCTGAAAAATTTCTAGTCATAGATAATAGCTTGTGGATTTCAGCCTCAAATATTTCAAATTCTGGAAAAAAATATTTAAAAAAAAAAAATAAAACATTTTGCAAAACACTCATCCAAAGCAATAAAATGCCGCTAGATATGATCATAAAGCATTCGCTGGAAAAACCAGGAGGGGAAGTAAGAGGAGCAAAAAAGAAAAGAAAAGATTTCGTAAACTTCATCGAAGGCGGAGGAGAAGGAGAAGGAGAAGAACATCCGTTTTACGCTCTAAAATCCTAATAATGATAGCTCTTTTTTTCCTGAATTTATTTCAACGACATAATGCAATCGTACTGCAATCACTTGGCAGATGTTTCTCCAGTTTCTCTTTTTTTTTTTTGAAAAAATTTTTCCTAACATTTGGTTCAAGGCAAAATTTTCGAATATGTAATTTTCATAAAAAAAAAAAAAAAAAAAAACATCATTTAACGTCTTTATCTTGGAGAGAGATCTTAAAATTTAACAAATTCTACACTGACTACATTTTTTTAGTAAGTGCACTGTCTTGCCCTCTTCTTCCGTCTCTCGCTCTACTACCTTCTTCCAAAAACCTTCCCCCTTTTCCTCTTTTCTTCCTAGCTACCTCATTTTTCCCTCACGCCTATCCCCTCCTCTTTTTTCACCATTCACTCTCTGCCCATTAATGTACGTAGACAATAATTGTTTACGCAATCATGATACGGGAATGTCAGAGGTTTTCTTATGGATACTACAAACTCGGACAACCGGAATTGTTATGGATACCACATATGTTCTCTTCCCACAAATCAGGGAACTAAAAATCGTTTAATCAGCGGTCACAACGTAACACCAAGAAATGCAACATGAAAAATTTTGTCGTATGAAGCAAATTCTAAACGGGCCATAAAATTCTGCCGAGACGACGAGAAATTTCTGCAAGGGGACAGAAATTTTGGCTAAAGAACACTGAAATCAATTAGGAAACGTTGAAAAACCCCACACAGCAGTCCGGAAGCACCGATTTCAGCATTTAAAAGTTGAAATATTTGAAGAAAAATTCAGAAAGCAGTTGTATTTCCCGGAACGCGGAAGGCTACCTTCTGGACGGAGAGGGGCATCCCTCCAGATAGGACAACATTTTTTAGAGTCTATTTAGCGCAATAAATCACTGGAAGGGAACTCATTTATTAGGGTACGGAATCCAGGATAAAGGTGCCTCCTCCTCTTTTTCTTAAGTCTGGACATGATAAAGAACTTATTCAGGAGAATGGGCAGAAAAAGGCATAGCTGAGACGTATGGCACAACTCCTAGCTAGGGAGATACCTCGTCGCGGTTTAGGAATAGCAAAATCCTGGACGAGGTGGATGATAATCAAGGACATCTCGAAATGGTTAAAACCTTGCCGGTTAGTTTTGTTTAGAGGGAAGTGCTGAGTTGGTGATCGCCTCAGGAGATGGAACGAATGTTAGGATTGTCAGCAACAGGTTGACGGCCATCAGCAGATAATAATGCAGCAGTGGTCGAAATAATTGGAAAAGCATCAGTGGTCTTTGAGTTCTATGTAAATGATGGGAACATAACCTCAAAATTTCAGCTTCCTTGCTTTTCTGGCTCCCGCGTTAGCGATTTTCTCGCCTACCTATGAATTACAGTTGACTCACATGCATTGCAACAGTATTTTACATTAAAGATGCGCGTCCTGGTGTGTGAGATTGTGTGCTAGTAATATCACTCACATGGGATATGATCATTCACAATAACTGTCTGGGCGGCTTTCCATGGCATTCTGGTATAGAGCAGCGTTGTTCAAAACTGAAGACATTAAGCTTCTTTTCAATATGCCTAGAGCAACATAAGCTTCATACACATACACACATATGTAAAGTTGTCGGTTGGTCGGTCGGCGGCCAGATCTCAAATGTCTCTGTGGGCTCTCGCACTAAATACATTAAATGTGTGCTCCGTCAATCGCGTTGATTCTCTCAATTGGGCACACGTGCGAACGAAACACACGATGAGCGGAGCGGGCAAGCGAGGGACGGAAGGAAGGAAGGAAGGAAGAAACCGATTGGGGCGAATTGAATTTCAATAAAGAAATGCGTCGAAGACGACGACGACGACCAAGACGAGGAAGAGCCCCTCTTAGCCCTCCAATCTAATGCAGCACACATATGTATATCTGTTGGAAGCATGCTGCGCAAGCAGTCGCCGCCACTGCTCTCTGTGCTTCTCAATTAGCCATTCAGGAAATCCGCTAGCTTTTTTTTACACCTCCCCGGACAAGCGAACACAGCACCCACATTAATCGTTTGCCAATTCGTCGCATTAAAATTCGCCCCAAAAAGGAGCATGAACGGAAAAATTTCGGATCCACAAAGCTGATCCATTATGAATTGTTCCGACGCTGTCAAATAAACGCTTATAACTTAGTGGACCGAAACGTCTTACCTCTTCATTTTCCCAATTCTCCTGAGTTTTTTTTTTTTTTTTTTCTTATCCTTTCCTGCCCTGCTAATAACATCCTGATAATGCGGTGAAGCTTTCAAGCGCCTAGAGCCTATTTTTTTTCGACTCCAAATGATATAAGGAAATTGAAATTTGAAAATTAATGCTCCTAAATCTAATACCCTCCCTAGAAAATGAGGTCAATTCTTGTTGGTTTCTTAATTAGCCAGTCAACTTGATGACGATGCACTGCGGATGGATGAGGAACAGGAGGTGAAGAGGCAGGCGAAAGGAGGACACATTATTTACAAATTTGACACACACAGTGATTGCTGAAGATGAGATAAAGAACTTCCCTCCTCCTCTTCTTCCCCTCCGGCTCTACAGAGCTCATTCACACTGTCCCTCTTTCACCTCCCTTCCCCCTCCCCCTCCTTTCACTCCATGGCCTTCGCGATATGGCCTTCGTCTTAGTAATAAAAATCTGTTGTCGGCGTAAAAAAAACATTATTTGAAGTGGCGTTCGGGTCGTTTGTAATCATCAAGAGCGATCAGAAACTCGGAAGGTTCGTTAACTGGAAGCAGTACTGCTGATGATGATGCTTGGCCTAACAATCCGTCCTCTTCGCCCTCCCGTGCCTGCCCCTCCCTTCCCTCAGATCCTTCAACCTATCCCGCTTCTTAATAGCAGCACTTCAGAGAAAAAAATGTCCTTGTTTATTCTCTCCGACATTTTCTTCGCCGCCGCAAATAACAGCACATAATTGACACTACGACCGGAGGGAACAGCAGGGATACAATTGGAGAGGGCTGGGAGGACAAAACCGGAGAGGGACGGGAGGGACGAAGCGGCAACGAGGAGGTAAAAAGAGAGTACTCCATCTAGCCACTTGATCAATCGGATTATTTGTCGTTAAATCAGTAAATCCCAATGCATTTTTAACTCTCCAGTTTACTGTTCCCCCTCAGTTTCCTCATCAAATAACATCACTTATCCCTAATCCTTTTCTCGCTCTCCTCCACACACTCGTAAAGCCATCACAACGATCTCCTCACTGTGTGTATGTGCTAAATCCTTTGCAAATAGCTTCTTCAAACAAACTAACTACAAAAGCCCAACCAACTGCAAAATTGTACTGTTTACTTAGGTCGACCTCTCACCAAATGATTCATTTTGGGAGTTGATCAGAACTACATTTGGGACTGAGCGTTTCTCCCTTTTTCGCAACATGCGAAGAAACAAAGTCCCGACGGGCAGGGCATTTTACCCCTCTTACCGATATGGATTTCATTAATTAACCAGTGGTACCGGCAAGAACATAAGCGATCATTCGGGCCACCACTGAAAAGGCAGCGCATATACATCCAACAGGAGATTGGGGTACTTAATGAAGGTATGAGGGTAGGATCAAACGATCTGGCATAGCTATGCTCAGCACGTGACAGCATTCCAGTGTAATGTCACTAATGCGAGATATGCATACTCATAATCTGGGAAGTCTTGGTATTCCTGACACTAAAGTTCAGCGTATTTAAGTCAAGCTAGTCATCCCAGGACTTATTTTTTGCCTTCCAAATAAAATTTTTTGCCTTTTCTCTTTCCCT